CTTTCTTTGTGCCTCTGCCTTTTATCTTTCTTTCTGTCTGTCTTTTATCTCTTTCTTTCTTTCTGACTCTGTCTTTTATCTCTTTCTTCCTTCTTGTTTCTGTACTTTAGCTCTCTTTTTTTCTCTTTCTTCTTCTTCTTGCCAGCTCGCCATTTTTATTCTCACTACGCCTACTATTGTGAACATTGCCGCGAAAACAATGATACTGACAGACACATATTATTTAACGCCGATACTTGGGTGTACTTTGTATGTTTTTTAAGGATTTGGTATATTTCCCCGCATCTGAATAGACTTGTTATTTATATATTTTGGGTACACAAATGCATTCACAAAAGTGACTTATACATACAGACACACACACACACACACACACAGACACACAGACACACACACACACACACACACACACACACACCACACACACACACACACACACACACACACACACACACACACACACACACACACACATTTAAAACATATCAATCTTCCACTTATTCTTCAACGTGTCTAAAACCCCTATGCTTCCCTTGCAGTATTCCCCGTGATAAACATTATCACCTTCGACAACGCGCCCTGTACGGCCCAGTCCGGAGAGATGGGAACCTGCTACAGCCAGAAGGAGTGCGAAGGACTTAGTGGAACCCCGTCGGGAACCTGTGCCAACGGCTTCGGCATCTGCTGCGTGTGTGAGTGTCTCGAGCGTTGCGGTGTGCTTCGGTCTTGGGTTTCGAAACGGTGTTCGGCGGGTCCATCCTGCGAACTCGCAAGATTTTTTTTTTTTTTTTTTTTTTTTCAAATCCAGACACTTTATTTAGGATGAATTATTGGAATGGGAAGCACGACATATCATGAATATTTTTTCTTGATTTTAGATTTTTTTTTATCTAGACACTTTATGAGGATGAATTAAGGGAATGAGAAGCACAACGTACTTGATGTAGATTATTTAGATATATATGCGTGCATATTTATAAATTTACTGGATATGTATATGTATATGTACATGTGTTTAGTATATATACATTATATATAATGTGTTTAGTATATATACATTATATATAATCAGGAAAAAGGATATACATGCATTACATATAGATTACCTTGTAAGTGCCGAAACCAGATGTACCAAAGGCAGTGAACCACATAGGTAAGCCCTGTTATTTGACACTGATTACCTTCCAGTAACCGCGACTTGTGATGGTACCATATCGGTGAATGGTACCTACTTCACCAGCCCTGGTTACCCATCTACTTACTCCACACCAGGCACATGTATGGTGGAGCTCTTGCCTCCTGCAGGTGTAAGTACCGCATGTGACAGCAACAACTAATCTGCTCCTCACACGCAACCGGTTCCTTCCAGAAGAGCGTGGATGCTGCTCCGCGGGGGACTGACTCATGCATGTGTACCTTTCATGTGACCTTCGTGCATGTCTTAACCAAGGAACGTAGAGTAACGAAAGTTTCACGTTGCGAGGAAGAAAAATTCGTTGCCAGTTTTTCGTGAATTGCTCGCTAACCAGCACGTCAGATACCGCAGTTTCAAACAACAAGTCGATAATTAAGAATGACTGTTGGCGGTTGTGGCGTGAAGCTTAGTGAGTCACTCCCGATTCTTTTTTTTTTCTAAAGCTCTGATAGTCAAAGGGAATGCCACCTTCTTCACTCTAACTTCCTTGGATCTAACAATGGTGCTCGTGCCTGCCGCATGTTGAGGAACTCACATGAACCTTTACAGTTCACCGATCGTGCGGAGAGAGCATAGACAGTGGACATGTTGGTTACTTCATAAGCAGCGGATCCTACACTCCGGGCATGTGCATGGTAACGCTCCACCCACCTCCGGGGGTGAGTCTCTGCTGCCTCATGTGTCGCGCGCTGAAAGGCCGGGATGTGAGGGTCTTTGGGTGCCCATGATGGTGTCTCGGTGTTCTCTCAAGTGGGTGTTTCAGGCTCTGATTTGTCCTCTTTTATAAGGATGCAGATCGATTCACGCACTTTTAAATGTGGACTCCATTGTGCGTACTTAGAATACCCATTCACATCTTCCTCCCTTTTAGTGTGCATCGCGATTGCCATTACAGTCTTCACTAGTCACTACTATACACACTCTTTACAGGTATCTCATTTACCTTTACAACCTCTCTCAGTCCCCCCTTTCCCTTCGTTTCTATTCCCACGTTTCCGTTTTTTCTCATTTTTATCACTCTTCTTTCTTTTTTGTTCTCCTTTCCTCGGTCTTTTCCTCCTATTCTACACTTTTCCTGACTCCTCTTTTCAGCCCTTCATTCCCAGCACTATACCTACAGGATTACACAAAACACATGCCCCTACGGATCAGAAGTAAAAAAATACAAATAATGACAAAAATGATAAAAACAGCACACGATACAGCTGCTGATATCAGACGGTCTGTAGAAAATTTCAAACACTAAGTTAAGATGAAATCGGGACACAATTTAAAGAATGGGTATGATTATTACATCGTGAAAATCTGAAGGCTTGGTAATGGTATTTGAGTAGATTGATATCCAGTGCTCGAAAAAACTCACAACACGCATGCTTGATCTATAAAATTACTAGGCATAAATCAAACTTGTATCCAATTAAAAAGTACACTAAATTAACACCTGGCCTTTATACGCCATCATCATAATCTTTATTTGAATAATAACTTACATTATAATCATCCATTTTATTTGAGATATATTTGTCAAAAATGCATATACGTGGACAAACCAACACGTGCTTTCAAGTATGTGGTTAATGGGATCAGAAGAAATGAAATAAATGCTTTCATCGGTGCCCCACAGACGTGCCAGATCTTGCTGGAGTTCGAAAGCTTCAATCTTATGGGCCCAGTGAACGGCGACTGTAACAACGACACTTTCATTGTCATGGGAGCCAACGCCGGCAGTCGAATCCCAGTCATCTGCGGCGCCAATACAGGACAGCACAGTTAGTGTCTCTCGGTTTCCTTACTCACTACTTCATTTTCACATATCTGATATTTTTTTAACGATTCTTGATTACAGTACTACCTAAATTTTATCATTTACTGTTAATGATGTTAATTACCTGGGTGATATTTATGTTAATATTTGTCTGACAGTAATGTTGCTTCCTTTTCACAGTGTACATTGACGTTGACCAGTCAAACGGTCCCTACAAGATGATGGTCACGTCCTCCGCACTGGCTTATCCTAGAAGCTGGAAAATCAAGGTAACCTTCTTAGACGAGAATGACCCCTGCAAGGCCCCGCCTCGCTGCCTGCAGTACTTTAAGGAGACATCAGGCGCCATCACCTCATTCAACTTCGGCCCTGAACCAATGATGCTCACGAATCAGGTGGGTGCACTTGCACACGCGTAAATGCGCGCGCTCGCATATATGCATATCACTGTGATGGGATATACAAAATTCACGATGAAATTTGTTGAGCAAAATGATATTAGAATAATAGTATATAAGTCTGAAAATAAATTTGGCGTGATTTTGGGTTTTGATATCTTTTTTTTTTGCCCCACAGGAATATTGCATTTGCTTCGGCTACAATCCCGGCTTTTGCGACATCGGCATGAACTTCAACAGGCTGGATCTTGGCAACATTAACGGTAATTGCGGTAACGACTACCTGGCCGTCGGAGCTGAAAAGTTGTGCGGAGACTTCGGTACTTTAACCGCTCAAGGTACGTCAAAAGTTATGCTTTTTAGCCAGTTACATGTAGCTAATTCTAATGTGTCCTTCAACCGTATTCATCTAAGCCTCATACTTATGGCAAGAGAAAATCCCATTTATTTATGGCCTTTGATGCCGGCCAGCTCTTGATGCAGGCATTTTCAACTGCTTACCATTCCCGTGCTCTTCCAGCCAACGCCACCGGCCCCATCTCGCTGTGCGTGTTCTCAGACGACAACAACGACCGCGAGGAAGAAGGCTTCAATGTGAACTACCTTATGTTGGCGTGTTAATAGCGGCGACGTTTTTATTATCAACCTAATTCCCCCATCCCCCTGCCTTCGCAATCTCACCAACTGCGACGACCACCGTGACGACTTCCATTCCCGTGGAAATCGTGTTGTGTGGCGCGGGTCGTGGTACTGAGTGTCATTAAACTCTCCCTTCACCCTTCCCCCACAAGGACTCTTGGGCAAAGAGTGATCGCCAGGCAGTTCCTCCAGAACTTGCGACTGTCCGAGAGCTTCAGTATGTGAGGCAAGAGTCACCTCTATCACCGTGTGTAATATAGTGTACAATATGTGGGCAGCAAGAGACATTGTATAGCACTGTACAGAATGATTTATTATTTTTATTCATGAAGCGAGTGATGTTTGTGCGAGTGAAGTGAATGTTTTTGAGTGTTTATTGTTAATATGTTTACATTACTATCTGTTAAGTTATTGACAATGTAATTTATTTTATTTATTATACTACTGAGAGAAATAAGGTAGCGATATCAATCTTTCGCTATACTTCTCAGGGCAATTATGTGTCAAGCAGAGACAGTTTGTTACTGTATCGAAACTAATCCTACACCAATAAACGAAAAAATACATTCCACCGCTTTTTCTAGATTCCTCCTCCTGCAACAATTCCAATTACCAACGTGATGTTAGGTAGAACTTCGTTAATTGGAAATTAGACATATGTTTTGCAACTCTGATGTATGATGAACACAGGTATTTTATACATATAACCCAACAAACAATTGTATTGCCAAACTCCATTCAAGCTAGGTCATTTTTTTTTTTTTTTTTTTTTTTTTTTTTTTTTTTGCTTTACGAAGAAACTTTGCATTCAGCAACATGAAACAAAAGAGTATTATTATCTTGTTCACATTTTTCTGAGAAAGGTTTCTCTAAGATACCTTTCATCTACATTATTCCAAGATACACATTTATGTGAAACAATTAAATATATACAGAAAAAAAAAATAAAGGAACCTAAATGAAATTTCTAACTCACTTTTGCTTGGCTCTTTTATTAACATCT